TGAACAATTAATTCGCCCATAGGCTCAGCACCATCTGATTTTTTTGGACGGTGTGGAGCAATCGACTGCATTGGACATGGACATAGTGTGTCTGGTGCGGTCATTTTTTCACACGAAACCGCAATGGCTCTCAACTTTTCAGGCTAAATCGCAACGCCTCTACGAGAGCCGTTGCCGGGCGAAAACATTGTACACTGACGCCCCATGGTATTTTGAAGACTTTTCCTATATACATATATACGTGTGTGTGTGTGTGTGTGTGTGCAGTGTATATGCATATAGCCACGGTGGGGTGTTAGGAGGTTATTAAGGTTAAGAATGGACTTGTTAGGCATGGGTAGCAGATGGCGATCGACAGGTAAGATGGGTTGGAGGGGCCTGTTTGATGGGGCAGAATCTAGTATTGTCATTAGGTCTAAGATCTGCTATGAGAGTGGGGTCAGGTTTGGGTCTGACATGAAGAAATACCAAATAGAGCGTACTTTCGATATCTTGATTCAGTAATTTAGGATAATGGAGAGATTGAGGAACGTGTCGTACATAGAATTAGAGTTGGGTTGGCAAAGTGGAGATGTACAACCGGAGTTTTTAGTGATCGTCGCATACCAATGAAGTTGAAAGGCAGGTTCTAGAGGACAACTGTGAGGTAAGCTTTGCTTTATGGGGCAGAATGGTGGCTGGTCAAGAAATAACATACCTATAGAATGAGTGTAGTTGAGATGAGGATATTGAGATGATGATGGGCAAGACAAGAAGGGATAGAATTCAAAATGAATACATTCAGGAGAATTTACGTGTGGCATCAATAGGTGATCGGATGAGAGAAAGTAGATTTAGGTGGGCTGACCATGTGTTGTGCAGACCCAGTACAACGCTTGTTAGGAGGTGCGAGTAAGTTCAAGTAGAAGGCTAAAAAAGAGCAATGGGTAGGCTCAAAAGGATATGGTTGGAAGTAGTGAGAAACGATATGGGGATTTATGGTATCACTGAGGCTATGGCCCTTAATAGAGTAGAATATCGTACCAAGATTTGTGTACTCGACCCAATTAGATGGGAAAAGGCTCTAACGATGATGGTGATGATGTGGCTTAATTTGGACATTGGTGTAATTTTGAAGCTTTTCGGGTTCAGTTTTCACTCATGGTAACATTAACCTCTTTCCTCAAAATGCTTGTTATGAATTCATGCAAGGGGTGGTTTAGGTGTTTTGGAGTTTTTGCTTTATGAGGAGTCTTATAATTTTTCTTACAAAAAAAAAGAACTAAAAAATCATTAAAACGAAAAGAGGCGTTATAACAAGGACATGGTTTGAGTAGAACAAGGACATAGTTTGAGTAGGCTTTCTTAAGGAGTCATACATTTCCCTTGGGATCCACAAGATGTAATGGTTTTTCAGCTTGTCTGGAGTGTCTTCCCCTGGGTGATCGCCTTCCTTAGTTGGCTTGCCCATAGTTGAATCTCTCGCTGAAGGTCTTGATTCTGATTCAGCGATTCCGACTAGGAATCTTCACAGAGCCTGTTTTCGTGAAGTCTAGAATCTCGATTTCTTATTTTGGAAATCTCGATTCCAACACATGCATAATCTCTTTTCCAATATTAATTGGCTCTCGATTTTGCAATTGGTGAATCTCGATTCTACACTTTGCTGAAACTTGTTTCCACATTTATTGGAATTCTACCACTCCATTCCCTCGGTTTATTTTTTTCCTTCTTCTGAAAAATGATATTTGGAAGTTTTCAAGGCATCATACTACTTGAACTAGACACTCGATCTCAAGCTACAAGGTGTACTTATCTTTTTTGGCATAAAATGACCAATAGAAACCAAAGTGGTGGTTCATGTTCTTTACTTAATTTGTTAAATGTGTTATGTATTGATCCAATGGAGCAATTGCAACTCCAAGATGTTAGAAATAATTTAATGCAAATAATGTAAGCATGCATTTATGGCATGTCGGTCAATAAATGGCATTGAGACATGAATTGTTTCCCTCTCAGTTCCTTCTTGATTTCAAAGATGTCGGAATCTCTATTCCATAAATTAAGGAATCTCGTTTTCGTATTGGTCCACTCCAACTAGGTTTGAAACTCGATTCCAAAGAGCTAGGAATCTCGATTTCATCTATGCAAGGTTCTCGATTCTATTTTGTTCTAATCTTGATTCCTAAAAATAGGAATCTCATCCCCCACAATTCCTTTTGAACGGGCGTTGATTCCAAAAATAGGAATCCTTTTGCCGGTGGCGATTCCGTGCTTCTGATTCCTAAATCGATTCGGTTTTCGAATTGCTTTAGGTAACTATGGCCTTGCAATCACTAGTGGCATCCTTATGAGGTATTATGTTCATAGCAGGGGATTCTAGTTGCTAAACATATTCTTTTTCTTACTTAGAGAGTATGTGGACTCTGTAGGATTAACTCTTATAGTGCTCTTAAGCCTAGTAAGATCATTTGCATCCATGTCAGCATCCCATTTCTTTAGAGGGACTGCTTACGCCGTAAGATCATACTTGTTTGGGAGGTACCGAAGGAGAAGAAATTATAGTTTTTGAATTGATACATAAGTTGAGGGAGTGGGGTTCTCAGTTTGTGGGTAGGGTGGTTAAACTGCAACTTGACATCAAGTGTTCCAATCCTGTTGCTTGTCTACCCTAAAAGGGAGACATGTGAGTTTAGGCATAAAATGTATAGTATGGCTTAAAAGAAGTGGCTATGTGTAATTCTAGGGAATAAAATAAAAAAACAATTCTTTTTTCTTTTATTAATATAACTGAATTCCACTTACAAGTGCTACAAAACAATGCCGTTAATAAGAAAGGATACACACATTAACTGTTAAAGAAAGTCGAGAAGACTTACTTTACTTTGCCTAGGGTTACCCCTTTTAGGACTTGATCCACCCTGCATCCAGTTACTTGACTGATGGCACACTCTAATCCTATTGGCTCTGTTGAATTCTTTGAATTGGGAAGCTCCTTAAGCAATACCTTTGTTTTAGATATGGGGTTTAAGAGACTTACTTGCCTTTGCCTAGGGTTAACCCCTTAGGACTTTATCCACCCTCATTCAAGCAGGAATTCTAATAATAGAGGAGAATTCTAATAATAGAGGAGAGGTGTCCTCATTCTAAACACTTGGTTTTAGCCTCTCTCTCTCTCTCTCTCTCTCTCTC